TAAAAAATAAGTTTAAACAAGCTAGAACTGCTTATTTTTCACCGCTAATTGAAGCGAATAAGAATCATCCAAAATTTCTTTTCAGTACAGTTGCCAAACTTACGCAGAATCATAGCTCTGAACCATCTATTCCCTTAGCCCTCAGCAGTAACGACTTTATGAGATTTAGAAACAAAATCATTAGCATCCTCCCTAATGCGATTTCTTCTTCCTCAGTAAGTGAGGCAGCATCAGAGGTAATTGTAGAACCTCATCTGTGTTTGAACCGTTTTGATCCAGTTGAGCTTTCAGAGTTATCAAAAATATTAGCTTCATCGAAACCTTCAACTTGCATTTTAGATTCAATCCCAACCAAATTATTTAAAGATGCATTTCCTTTGGTTACTGCCCCCATTCTAGATATAATCAATCTATCCTTAGTAAATGGATACGTACCACTGGATTTTAAGGTTGCTGCAATCAAACCTTAAGAAGCCTTTTCTGGATCCAGATGACCCAATGAATTATAGACCAATATTTAACCTTCCATTTTTATCCAAAGTCCTGGAGAAAATAGTGGCCATCAAAGTATGTGAGCATTTAAACACTAATGATCTGTTTGAGGAATTTCAGTCTGGTATTAGAAAGTATCACAACACTGAAACTTCATTAGTGAGAGTTACAAATGATATTCTCATGGCCTCAGATAAGAATCTTGTGTCTGTTCTAGTCTTGTTAGATCTCAGTCCTGCCTTTGACACAGTTGATCACAATGTTCTTTTAGAAAGACGAACATGTTGTAGGGATCAAAGGAACAGCGCTAGGCTGGTTTAAATCCTACCTGTCTGATAGATTTCATTTTGTAAATGTACATGACAAATCTTCATACTCCAGGGTTACTTGTGGAGTACCACAGGGTTCAGTGCCTGGACCACTTCTTTTTACTATGTATATGCTTCCAATCGGTAAAATCATTAGACAGCATGGGATAAACTTCCACTGTTATGCTGACGATACTCATTTATATCTATCCATTAACCCTGATGAACCTAATTGGTTGGTTAGATTACAGGCTTGTCTTGAAGACAAAAAATTGGATGACTCAAAACTTGACTGAAGTTCTCATCTTTGAACCTGAAATTCAGAAAAGGAAATTGCTTAGTCAACCACCTGACCGGAATGGCATTAAATTAGTCTCCGAGAACAAAGTAGAACCTTGGTGTTATCTTTGACCAGGACATGTCATTCAAATCCCAGGTTAAACAGGTTTGTAGGATTTCCTTTTTCCACCTTTGGTATATTGCTAAGATTAGAAGCATCCTTTCCAGGAGTGATGCTGAAAAACTAGTTCATGCATTTATTACATCAAGACTGGATTACTGTAATCCATTACTCTCAGGAAGTCCACAGAATGTAGTTAAAAGTCTTCAGCTTGTCCAAAATGCTGCAGCTAGAGTTCTGATGAGAATTTAAAAAAGAGATCATATCTCTCCTGTCTTAGCTTCCCTACATTGGCTGCCTGTTAAATTCAGAATAGATTTTAAGATCCTCCTTCTCACATATAAAGCTCTTAAAAAGCAAGTAACGTCTAAATTAACTTTTTTTTGTTGATGAACTGTATAAATGAGTGTCTAATAGTGTTTTAAATGTGTGTATTCATTATTTTAGCATTTTGGTGCATTTTCTTTAAAAATTTAAAATTCTGCCTAAATATCACAGTATAGCGCCACCTTCAGCTTAAAACAGAGTTTGAGTCTGTTTGAATACACTTTAGCTAATGGCTAAAGAGAACGAAACTACGTAAACCAGTAGAGTACTACGTAGCAGCTCTGTGTCAAAGTTATACAGCATCGAGTCTCGGCCACGCCTTGTGGCGAGTTGGGAGTTGGATTTGCAAGCGAGTGTAGGACGGTTAGCGGTAGTTCAGCATCAGCATATAGCATATCCTAATCTTTAGCATAGCCTTTAGTGTTATACATACTTATTTAGTGTTATCTTGGCTGTTAGATATTCCAGTTAAGTTAGTGTTTAGCTGTTAGTGTTATTAGGAAAGTAGTTCGGGTTTAGTGTTCCATATCGTGTTGGTATGGTGAGAAGGTGTAGTGTATTGGGTTTGGTGGCTCTGTGGGGTTGCACTCCTTTCCACTGGACTTAGAAATTAGGCGCCAGTGGTTGCATACAATCGGTGTACTTGTCACAGTTCAGTGTTGGTAGGACCCAAAATGCAGGTACCCAAGATGACACGAGGCAGAAGATGATAAAAAGTAAAAACCTTTTATTAGGATGAGTAAAACAAAAATGTATCCAAAGGGCTGGAGCCAAAAAACCAATAAATCCAAAGGGCTGAGCAGGAGATCAAAACAGTAGAGAAAACACGAGCAGACTGACAGAATTACCACAATGGACCGACACCAGACAAAGACAAGACCGGGCTTAAATAACAGGAAGGAGTCAATTAGGGAAACTGGCAGCAGGAGTGTGGAGTGAGGGCTGGAGGGATGACAGGTGAATATAATTATCAAAATGGGAAAACAGAATCTGAGGAGGGCCAAAAAAACCTAAAAACTCTAAAACACAAAAACTAAACCTAAAGGCTGCGGGAAGGACCAACACACACACACCATCACACACAAATGCACTAATATAAACAGGACAAGCACACACACACATGCACACACACACACACACACACACACACACACAACTGGAGCAGGACACACACACACACACACAACACTGAGCAGGGGACTGAGGCTAGGGGCTACAAGGACACAGAGTGTGAATGAAGACCTGGAGGGGCTGGGGAGGATTGAGATAACACAGGACCTGGAAGGAATAATTTTACAGGTTATAACATAAGACACATAACTGAGACGAAGACAAGGACACATGATGGCGCTAAGAGACACAGAAGGGAATCTAGATAGGGATGGAGGACACCAGGAGGCACAAAAAGGAGGGGGCAGACGCAGACCATGACAGTACTGGAAAACAGTCAGCTCCCGCCTGGTGCTGTAGTTTGCAACCAGCATTTTACCTGTGATTCCTTCACCAACATGGAGTTTGAACTGGGTTATTCTGCACGTCTCCGTTTGAAGAGGGAGGCTGTGCCCAACGTGGCTCTTCCACGATTTAGATGTAGCCTACCGACTCTGCTCCCCCACCATGCCGGGCTCCAGTCTGAGGTGAGTAAGCTAAATACTGTAAAAGTGTTAACATCTTCTAAAGACAATTCCCTACCTAAATGCAAAGTTTGAGAGATGTGGTTCACTTAATTTAGCTAATATCAGTCTGCACTGCCTTCGGGCTGATTTGTCAAGTTCACAAAATGTGGAATGGGATGTAAGGTTAGAATCAGCGGGGAATCGGAACATATCTTGAAGCCCTGGCCGACAAAACGGTCCACGACTATTACTGTCAGGCTTGGAGAAAATTCGGGTTGTTTTTGTGTCAGTCAGTAATTCTGCTAACAGTGGCTCTAACTAACACAGCAGTAGTTGACAGACAGCATTACAGCATGAAATCCAGCTTTACACCACAGCGTGACCCGGTTCTGTAAGGAATTATGTTCATGAGGTCGCATTTCAGGCTCTCTTCACATCATATGTGACTGACTTTTACGTTATAATAATGATCACACACTAGGAATGTTATAAAGCGCCTATATCTGACAGTTTCTTTTGTATATTATCTGACTTTATAAACTCCAACAACAATGTGCTTCTATTTTTTTCAGGCTAAATCTACCCAAGACATTGACTGTCAGACTGATTTAGTAGTCTGCAAGAATGCACTTGTCCAGGCTGACGTGAAGCCTTACCGGCGTAGAAGGTGGTGAATTATTTTTAATAATCTTCTATGTAAACATTTTATTATCACCTTCTAGTTTTAATTTGTTTTACAGATTATTGTTACACGTGATTTTATGCTCTTTTAAACATCTATAAATGTGCTGCTTCTTTGTTTTTTACATAGCCACCCAGTTTAGAGTTCCCAGCCGAAGTGTGTCTTGTGACACGGGGACCATGACGGAAATTCATCTTCCAGAAAGTCCCAGAGCAGCGTCTACACCCCCTGAAAAGACCAAGATGTGAGGTGTCTGCTGTTGATTCCAGCTTCCACCTCAGTGACAGTGCAAGCTCAGTGAACCGTTCAAGGTAAAAAAAATTAAAACATTTCAGAATTTTAAGATATTAACAATTAAATAAGTATGTGATTACATCATGACATCACCTTGGTGGTGACGTGTGAGCTGATTCACCTGGTAAATAACTTTTACCTTAAATATTTTGTTTTTGCTATTAAAAGTAAATTAACTAATAACCTGCATTATTGCAGGACACTCAGCAAAATATGGACGCTACACCATGAGGCAGGCACACGTTAATACTCTATAAGAGCACATAAGGTGAGCAACACCGCATATTATTGTTATTATTGTACACTGTCCTGGATTTGTTTTCTTTCTGCATCTCATCATTAGCCTGGCTGATCACCTGATAACTCCTGTCATCTGGTTGTGACAGCATGAGGATGTCCTCACACACGTGTAACCTATCAGCTCATCTGGCAGAATAGAGAGAGAAGAGACAACACCACATCTTCTGTTCCTGGAAAGCCTTCAGCCATCCTTCAATGACCAGTGTTGGGAGTAATGCGGTACAAAAGTAATTAATTACTGTAATGCATTGCTTTTTGCTGTAATGTGGTAATGTAAGGCATTACAGGGAAAGAAAATGGTAATATTTACTCGGTACAATTGTCAGTAACGCGGTAATTACAATGCATTTTTAAACCCAGAATTAAGCTGCGTTTCTTAAAAATTTAAATTGCGGGAAACCCGAAAAAAGTTCCAGTATCTGCATATATTACGTCATTTATGGACTCAGCTTTGCGGGCAGAGAGGACGTAGTGGTAACGGCTCATCTACTCCAGCTGCATCCTGCGCGCGGCCGCTGTAACATTCACAAAATTGCTCCACTAAAACAAAATAATTCACCTGCGATCGTTCATATCAGCGCATGTTCTCTGGTATTCTGTACTATTCTGACGTGCTTTGCCGCAGCTGAGTTAATCTGGGCCCCGGTGATTTTAACTCATTGCTGCTGGAGTGCCGCACATGTGAAGATCCCTTTGGCTGATTAGTTAGAAAGTAGGAAATCTAGGAAACAGTTTTTCTGGAAGACGGAGAAAACATGCAGCATGCAGGACGGTTAGAGAGAGAAAGGGCAGGAAATTATTCAAATAAAATCAAGAAAACAAAACAAAGTGCTTGAAAAGAAAAAATATAGGTAGATTTATCCCCAATACTCATTTTTACCAGTGGAAAGCAATAATATATAAGCATTTAATATTTATACATGTGATAGAATCAGATCACACCAGAAGTCAGTCCCACATCCAGGGCCGTATCAAGGCATTTGGGGACCAAGGCAAATAGGCTTGGAGCCCCCACCACCTCACTCCCTGCTCAGTTAATATAAAATGGCAGCGTGCTGAGAGTACAGTTTGTTGTTGCTTTTATTTAATAAACAATCCTTCTAAAGAACTGTTTTTAACAGCAATCCTAGCTCAGACACCACATCACCTTCCACCGGATGTGTCATGAGTTCACCGGGCATCAGATTACCAAACTCATACTGAAGTTGTTTTGTTGAAAGTAACTTAGAGTAATGCAAAAGTAGTGTAATGCCTTACATTTTAAAATCAGTAATATTGTAATGTAATGAATTACTTTAAAATGAGGGTAACAAGTAATAAATAATGCATTACAGTTTTGAAGTAACTTGCCCAACACTGTCAATGACTGAGAACCTCCATCAGCTGTCTCCTGTCTGCCTACAATTATTATAATAAATATTGTGTTTGACAAGTTTTTTGTGCTGCCAAATATCTCATTTTGATTCCAGTTTTGATATTTTAATGGATATTTAGAAATTACACTAATTTAATTATCACAATGTTGCATGTTTAACTAGCTCTATTGTGATGAATTAAACTAGCACCTCACTGTTAAAAGCTCATTTTAAATTCAAGCATGTTTAAGTATTTATGGACATGAACAAAAACAGGTAATATATAAATTGAGATTGATTTAATTAATATAACAAATAACTGTTTAGAGGAGGAAGAGTCATTCAAAGGCACATTCTTCTGGAAGCTCCTGATCCTGACTGCACCACCAGTGGAGACCAGCTGCAGACACCAGAGGATCACCTACGACCAAGAGAGCAGCTGGTATCAGTAAATAAATAATGAAATCAGGGCAGTTTTAGTGGGCTGTTTGGGATTGTGTAACATAAATGAACACATTACAGAATAATTTTCTCATGGGGTAGTTTCATAACTTTCTCTGCAGCAGACTGTAACTTAAGCCCAGGGCTCCTGGAGAGCTGCTATCCAATAGAATAGAATGCCTTTATTGTCACTATACGGGCGTAAAGTGAGATACAGAGCATCTCCTACTCAGTGTAAAACAAACATACTTTCGGGGGGGGGGGGGGGGGGGGGTTACAGTTCTGCAGCGCTATGTACATATGGACAGTAAGTGTTATATACAAATTCCAGCACGTTTCAGTGGTTTTCCTGCTTTAATATGTTAGATTAGCTGTTCAGCAACTCAGCTATTTGTTGCTGATTAAAACCAGGTGTGTTGAAGCAGATACATCTCTTAAACATGCTGAATACTAGCTCTCTAGGGCCGTGGAGCCAAACCCTGCAGCTAATCTAATGCTATGGCTAACGGCTACTTACCATTCAGAGCTGGTTCTGTTGGGTCGGTTCCGGTAGTTTCAGGCAACTCACAAGCTCAAAACAATAAGGCTCAGGTCCGCTTGTCTCCTCCAAATAGACTTGGCCCCTTTCTTCTCGAGTGTCTGGATAAGGAGGGGGAGAAACCTCCTCCACGTCTAATGACTGCTCAGAGTGAAGGGAGCTAGCTTCGTCTCGTTACCCATCGTCTTCGTCACTGCCGCGGCTCTGCCCTCTCGGTCCACCAGCAACGCCTACTAATGTTGCAGGTTTTAAAATTGAGACGTGGGTGGAGAAGGACTCTGAGGCACGCTTGAACTGCCCTTTAACAATCAAGCTCCATCACATATCAGTGACTTGACTGTTCCATATGTTCCTAACCGAGCACTTCGCTCTCAGACTGCAGGTTTACTGGTGGTTCCCAGAATATGTAAAAATAGGATGGGATGCAGCTCCTTTAGTTATCAGGCTCCTCTCTTGTGGAACCAACTCCCAACTCAAGGGCGGTAGATTCCGATTAGAAATTGTTTTGGGGCCAGACGGAGATAATTTCCCCTCTGTCTTACAGTTTGTTGGTCCTCAACCTCTCAAAATCCCATTAATGGACATTAATCTATTCCAGTCTGTGCTGATTCGTCCACTCTCTCCTTGATAGCATCCATCTTTTGTGCCAATGAATGAACCTCGGCCAAAGTTCCAAACTTACGATTCATCTCAACAATTATGTGAGTCTGTGAAATCACAGCGCGGTGCAAACCATCTCTGAGCTCAGGGATCAGGCCAATATTATTCAACAGCTCGTTAATTTTCCGGTAAGCCAGGTAGCCTCCAAGACCAATGAGCAGGAAACCTGACACCAACACCACGAATATCCACACGTCTTCAGAGTCCTCCACAGACAGCTGAGATGAACAAATCAAATTCCACTGTTTCCAGGAGTCCATGATGTGTCCAACTGGGTCTGTCCCGGTGGGGCATCCGGGAGCCCCTTCTCCCGTTCTCATTGTTGAAAAAACTGTATCAATCACGTTGAGAGACCAACTGACGAGATCCATTTTAGTGAATTTCAGTTTCCAGAAAAATGCAGAAGCAGCCGTGCACCCAGCACACAGAGACAGACAAAGGGCCTTGAGGATAAGATATGGAGGAGAGGAGGAAAAAAGCATCTGCACCCTCCAAGAGCCAGAAGAAAAGGTTAGGTTATCCAGAGTTATCTCTGTAGTTATGCTCCTATAGGCTTAAACAGCTGGAGGACACACTGACCACTTTCCACACTCGATGACTTTCTTCTACAATTAGCTCTTTAACTGTATTATTTCCTGCAATTTCAGCTGTTAACTTTATTTTTTCTCTTAAGTGTTTTTCTCCCCAGAAGAAGCTACAATGATGTTCTGCTGAGCTGTAGTACCCTCATGGAGGGGGCCATCATCTTGAACACTGTTGCTAACCATTTAATCATTCTCCCTCTTCTGATAATAACACGTTACTTTCCTTGACATTGAATGTGCTACTACTAGTTTACCCATTTATAGATTCACTAGGATAAATACAATAAAGTTTATCTCTCACCAAATAGAATATTTACTAAGAAATGAAAATGTAACCATAGATACATTACCTGGTGTGTTTCTGCTCTGTCTTCTTGATCCCCAGTGAGTTGTGGTGGATGGCTGCTTATACTGAGCCAGGATCCTCTGGAGGTTTCTTCGTGCTAAAAGGGAGTTTTCCTCTCCACTGTTGCTGCATGCTTGCTTAGTATGAGGATTGCTGTAAAGTCACTGACCAGTGCAATTTTCTACGTTCGTTATATAGAAAACTTTTTTCTGATTGGCTTAATGAATTGACCTGTATTGGAATGTTTATGTGAAGTGCCTTGAGACGACTCTTGTCGTGGTTTGGCGCTATATAAATAAACTTGAACTTGATGTATGTGTGTATGTATCAGTAACATTGGAGCACCGCAGAGGACTGTACTCTCACCAATTCTTTTCACCCTGTACACCTCAGACTTCCAGTACAAATCAGAGACCTGTCATCTACAGACATACTCAGATGACTCTGCAGTTGTCGGGTGTATCAGAGATGGACAGGAAGCTGAGTACAGAGAGCTGGTGGAGCGCTTTGTGGCATGGTGTGGAAACAATCATCTGACCTTGAATGTGAACAAAACAAAGGAGATGATTTTAGATTTCAGAAGAAACAGGGTGGAGTCAAACACTGTTTCCATCATGGGAGAAGAAGTGGAGGTGGTTGAGGAATACAAATACCTTGGAGTTCACCTGGACAACAGACTGGACTGGAGAAAGAACAGCCAAGCTGTTTACAAGAAGGGACACAGCAGACTGCACTTCTTGAGGATGCTTAGGTCCTTCAATGTCTGTAGCAAGATGCTGCGGATCTTCTACAAGTCTGTTGTTGAGAGTGTAATCTCTTCATCGTCTGTTGGGGTAGCAGAATCAGAAGCAGGGACCTGAAAAGGCTCAGAGCCTAATAAAAAAGACTGGTTTTGTTCTGGGGACGACTGTGGAACCACTGGAGGAGATAATGCAAAAAAGGATTCTCCAGAGAATCAAGAGAATTATGGACAACCCTGAGCATTCTCTTCACAAGACTGTCCGACAACAGAAGAGTGTCTTCAGTCAGAGGCTTCTTCAGTTTGGCTGCAACACTGACCGCTACTGGAGATCCTTCCTGCCAACAGCCATTGTAATATACAATAACTCTTTGATGACTTGATTATTATTATTATTCTGAGCTACTACAGCAATCAATTTCCCTCTAGGATTAATAAAGTATTTTTGAATTTGAATGTATGTCTGTACGTGTCTGTATGTATGTCTATATATATGTATGCATGTATAAAAGTATGTGTATGTATGTATGTATATCTATGTGTGTGCATGTATGTAATGTATCCATGTTTTTCTGTCTGCCTTTATGTGAGTATGTATGTGTGTGTATGTATGTATGTATGTGTGTGTATGTATGTTTGTCTGTATATATATAAAAAAATATATATATATATA